CTGAAGGCTCGGAGGAGATTGGGAAGGGAGACCACGGGGTTATTGAGGAAAAATACCATGTCGTCTGCGTACACGGCCACCCTATGTTCTGTTTGGTGCAGCTTGTACCCCGTAATACCCCTGTCCTGTCTGACCGCCTCCCAGAAGGGTTCCAGAGTGAGGTCAAACAGGAGGGGGGGGGGGACAGCCCTGTCTGGTGCCGTTGCGGATGGAGAACGGGGCCGAGAGTGCACCATTAATCCGTATACGAGCTGTCGGGGTTGTGTATAGTGCTAGTATCCAGGAGCGGATATGGGGGCCTAATTGCATATGTCAGAGGGAGGCCTAAAGGTACTGCCAGTCCACCCGGTCGAAGGCCTTCTCTGCGTCTGTGGAGACAAGAACCAACTCCCTGCTTGTCAACCGGGCGGAATGGATCATGTTGAGGGCTCGTATTGTCCTGCGTCTCCCTTCCTGGGACGAAACCCACCTGATCCGGGTGAACCAGCGTGGGGAGCATGCGGGAGAGTCGCAGGGCCGGAATCTTTGAGATTTGAGATCTGAGTTGAGGAGCAAGATCAGCGTATAGCTCCCGCAGTCGGTGGGGTCTTTCCCCTCCTTTGGTATGACCGTCACTGTCACGTGCAAGGTGTCTGTCTGGAACCGGCCACCCTCTAGCAGGGAGTTAAAGCCCTGTAACATGTGCGGTAACAGAGTGTCCCGAAACTTGCGCAGGTACTAGACCGGTAGGCCGTCAGGGCCCGGGGCTTTATTGGGTTTAGATCGTTTAAGGGCAGCGGCGAGCTCTTCCGCGGTAATGGGTTGTTCCAGTTCCTCTGCTAATTCCTCCGAGAGCTTGCGCCCGACATATTTTGAGAGGAAGGCGTTCACATGGTGTAGGCGTTGTGGTGTCTCCGTTCGTCTTGTGGTGGTGTTGATGTTCTATAGCTCTGAGTAAAAGTGCCGAAAGGCCTGGAGGATATCTCCCGGGGCCCTCTTCATCGTCCCATCCCTCCCCTTAAATTGGTGAATATGGTGTTGCCTCTGCTTTTGTTGTACGGTGCTGGCTAGTGTTCTCCCGCATTTATTGGACAATTTGTAAAAATGTCTATTCGATTTCCGTATAGTGTGTAATAGTTTCTGGGAGAGTAGGTCTCTGAGCTGTCTGTGCTTGTCAGTGAGGAGAAGTGTCATCCGTTTGGTCCCGTTTGTGCCGTGTCTCTAGGTCTGCTATCGTGTGCGTCAGGTCTAGGGTATTTGCGGCATGTTCCCTCTTCCGTTGGGTGCATAATTTGATAAATTGTCCCCGAATCACACATTTGTGTTCTTCCCACACCGTAAGGGGGTCAATGTCAGGGCTGTTGTTGTCAGCAAAGTATTGGGTCAGTGTTTGTATGATTTGTGTGGTGAAATTGGTGTCTTGTCAGCACAGTTTCATTGAGTCTCCATTGAAGTTCAGGGGTTTGAAGAGTGGTGATTTAAGTATGACTTGATCAGGGGCATGGTCCGAATCGTGTTGTATCCCTATCAGGTCAGGTCTAGGATATTTGCGGCATGTTCCCTCTTCCGTTGGGTGCATAATTTGATAAATTGTCCCCGAATCACACATTTGTGTTCTTCCCACACCATAAGGGGGTCAATGTCAGGGCTGTAGTTGTCAGCAAAGTATTGGATCATTGTTTGTGTGATTTGTGTGGTGAAATTGGTGTCTGTCAGCACAGTTTCATTGAGTCTCCGTTGAAGTTCCCAGGGTTTGAAGTGTGGTGATTTAAGTATGGATTGATCAGGGGCATAGTCCGAATCGTGTTGTATCCCTATCATGGAGGTGATCAAGAGGGGAAGGTACTCTTGGGCTAGGAAAATATAGTCGATTCTGCTATATCTATTATGCACCGCAGAATAGCATGTGTAATCTTCAGCTTCGGGATGCGCCACCCTCCAGCAGTTGACCTGGCCCGACCTGTATACAGTGTGGGAGGATGGAGCTGGTGCTCGCAGAAGAAACCCTTCGGGTGTCCAGCGGGATGTTTAGATCTCCATCTAGCACCAAGGTGCCATCTCTGAACCTTGTGAGGGCTTTCGTCAGGAACCGGTGTTGCCCCTTATTGGGGCAGTATATCGTGGCGAAAGTGTACCTGTGTTCTGCGATCATGCTTTTCACAAATAGTAACCTGCCCAGGGGGTACGCCTGTGATGCAGTGCTAAGGAAAGGGACAGAATGGGCAAAGATTATTGCCACTCCCGTGCGTTTAGCTTCGGAGTTGTTGGCGTAAAATCCCTGGGGGAATCGTCTATCTCTTATCTTAGGGGCGTCCTTCCCTTTAAGGTGCGTTTCCTGTATAAATGCTGTCGAGGTCTTCTGAGACCGCAGGGTCCTCAACAGGTGTCTCCTTTTTTCAGGGGAGTTGTGGGATCGTAGGAGTAGAAGTGTGTGACATCCATCTGTGTAAGTACTATCTGCTGGTTCGTCTATTTTGTTATACAGTCGTGGAATTACCTGCCCGTATGTACCTGTTCGTTTATTTCAGTTTATACCGAATAAAACTACCGAACGGCCGGCCACCCAGAAGAGAAGTGTGCTGCTGGTTAACCTATTGGCCTCAATTAGAACGTTGTGGTTAACCGCAGACACCTCTCAATTGGAACCGTATGCTGGGTGGTCATCGTTCGTATGTCGACCACGAGGCGGCGGGCATTTTAAACACACGAATGAACAGCGGTGTTCGAACTTATGGAACTCAAACCTGACACTTTTTCTACCGAACACTGCGGAAACCGCCGACCGTTCTTCTTATCAGGCATACGAACGCCGGTCCGTTCTGGACTTTTTATTGTACGAATGGACTTAACCCAGATTGAACTGTGTGCATTGGGTCTGAGCGTAATGTTCCAGGAGAGGAGGATTTTGGCTGATTCTCAGTTTGGGGAATTGGAGTGTTCGTGAGCTGCTAGTCCCGTATCGAGGAGAGAGGTCTTTCGTATAATTATCCAGTTTGGTGAATTGAAGCGTTCGGGAGTTGCTATTCTCGTAATAAGGTGAACTCCCTATTCGGTATTAACCCACGATACCCGGGCCATACCGTTACAGTTGCGGGGCAGAAGCCAGTCGCCATGGCTGCTCGGCCACCCAACAAGGGGGTTGGGGGGGGTGAGTGGGGAAGGTAGTGGAGGGGGATTTGGTTGATGTGTCTGTCTGGGTTTGTTAGACTGTGAAATAGTAGGCAACTATGGCCCCAGGTCGTGTGGGGGGAACCTAATGTACAAGAGGGTCAGTTGCTGTGGGACCAGGAAGTCCGGTTGGTTGAGTCCGTCTGGAAAGTCCGGTATCCGCTCTCCCTCGACCCACTTTGTGGAGTTTCTGATATGTCCACTAAGGCCGGTGAGAATGGGTTGGCTCTCTGGAGGGGGCCAGTGCAGGTGATTAGGCGGTGCGTCCCCGGGTCTCGCCAAGAGGCCGGTTGTTTGGGTCCCCGTCAAGATTTGTCCGAGCAGCCGGTCGGCCCCCCGTTCCGGTGGCATATATCTCAGTTCGCCTGTTTTTCGGGTTAATGGGTGTTGGGGGGGTTCCTGTCCATGTCTTGGTTACTAATCCGGGGTGGGGCTGTCTCACAGGGTCAGTTGGCTCGAGGCAGGAGTCCGCCTGGGCGGCGGTCTGTCGGGGGGGCCATACTTGGGGGTGTAGGTCATTGTCGGGGGAGTGTAGGTGGGAGAATTTAGGGGCGTCTCAATGGGACGGGGGCGTTCTCTGATGCTGACAGCGCGTGTCCGTAGTGCATAGTTAGCATTTTAAAACATTGCTTAGTCAATATACGATATTACTTCTCGTCAACAAATTAAGCGGTTCCGAGGCCGCGTCCGTGACTGATTTCAAACTTAACATAAAACTCCTTTCGGCTTATTAAACAATGCAAGCATGGTAAAACAGATTAAAACAGAAAGACAAGGCCGCTATGGCTCCCGCACCCCCCTCCCAAATAATTTTCAGCCGGTTGGGGCCATTCTCCTCCCCATTTCGTCTGTGCTGGCTCTTTTTCGGTGTGCGAACCTAGGGGTACCGTGTATGTTCTTGGTTGCCGACAATGTATAGTCAAGTGGTAGAGCCAGCTTGTTATGCTAAATCCAGACCCTACTCTGAGCTATGTCCCGTCCTTGGGGGATGCAGCTCTAGGTTCGTTACCAAAGTTGTGTCTGGCCTGTGAGTCTCTGCTATCCCAGTCAATCTCAATTAAACTTGGCCCCCGTTCCCTCCCAAAATCGTCCGTGGCCTCTAGGTGTCCTTTCCCATCCCCTCATACCCGTGTTGTCCCGTTTGCGTTGTGTGTTCCTTTAAATTCTCTCATCCCGGTACCCACCCGGCCCATGAGGTGGAAGTCCCCGTGTGAGTGCAAGTTTTGATACTTAGCTGTTGCTGTCTTGAGAGCATCCTTGGGGGAAATGCCGGTCCGAATGGGCCGACGGTCGCTGGGCTCGGTCCGTGGTACGGGTGGTTACTCCTCGGGTCCATTAGGGCCTCGCTTCTCTCCGAGCTCGGTTGCGCAGGGTTTCGGGGACCTCAGGGTGATTTGGGCACGGCGGAGGTTGGTCCAGGATCCAGTTGAAGACAGTGACTGGTGGCAGGTCCATTGCTCTCAGGAGGCTGGGTACTTCATTGGGCCATCGCATGGAGTGCCACGTGTTATCCTTTTTGACTTGGAGGCAAAATGTGAAACCCCATTTATAAGGTATGCGTTTCTCCTGTAGGATGCGCGTTAGCGGCTGCAGTGCCCTACGGGCATCCAGGGTAAGGGAGGACAGGTCCTGGTACAGTGACACCAAGGCGTCACGGAAGGTGGCGGTCTACGGGCGTGCCGCTCGCATGATGGCTTCTTTAAGCTGAAAAGAAAGGAGGCAACATATCACGTCTCGAGGGAGGCCGTCTCTCCTTGGGGGGGGGGCGCAGGGCCCTGTGGGCTCGTTCTATGTGGAAGTCATCAGGGGCTTCCTCGCCTAAGATGTGTGTGAAGAGCTGTGTAAGGGCTTCATTATCGATTGTCTAGATCCTCCACCTGTCTGCTGAGGTCCAGTAGCACTGAACCTTGCCTGGCTGTGGCATGGTCTGCGGCCTGGGAATGCTGGATGGCTTGTAGGTTTTCATTTTCAAGCTCTGAGACCCGTTGTTCAAGGGCCGTGAGGTCCCTGCGAACCTCCAAGATCTCTTCTCGTATCGCCGCCCTCAGCTCCGAGACCATGGCGGCGTTATCACTTTTGGTAAACATGTTGGCCGAGATGGCCGCCAGTTCTGTTATCTGCGATAGGGCTTCCCCAGCTGAGCTGGGCTCTGAATCCGCGCCACTCTCCGCTCCTGGGGAGGCGGCCGCCTTCTTGTATGCAGGCCTTGTGGCGCGGAAGCTGTCTGGGGTGGAGAGAAAGTCGTCCATCAGACCGGAGTTTTTCCCCGGGGTGCCCTGGCGTCTGGTTTTCCCCATTCTGGGGGTATCGGCAGGCTCTTACTTGGGGATTTGTGGGTCGAGGTTGCGGAGCTCCGGCAATGTACGACTCACTCCATTCGCCCCCCCAATTAGTCTTTTCTAGCCCCTCAAAAGCACACTGACGCTCAAACTTTTGTTGGTAGCTGTATATATGCATTTCACAGTCGGTAAATGCTTTAAAGGTGCCATAGTTCACCTTTCCGTGGTTGCCCATTTGTACATCCTGGGGCTGCTAGCAAATCCCCTTGCAGTCATCCTGCTCTTGACTCGCGATCTATCTGTTTGTCCCCTGCTTGCGCCATGACCTGTAGGATGGCGTTCTGTGATGGATTGGGCCCCAATATACTGAGCATCCATCTTACATCTTTTTGGAATTCGGTTTCCTCCAGGTGCTCCATTTCTATGTTACTGGCTCTGTCGCTCTGTATCAGTTCGGCGATTAACGTGGCTTTTGTCTTATTACTTGCCACTGCTCCTCGAGCTTCCAGTAAGTCCTTGAATGTCGTTTGTTTCAGTAGTTCATATTGCTGAGCCATTCAATTTTCCTTTGGTTCGGGACATTCATTCGGGATAGGAATCCCAATTCTACCACCAGTTGTAACGAAAGCTGGTATTGCAGATACGCGTTCGTCTGTTTCCTCCTAAACTGCTAGAGGCTGAGTGATTATAGCTCGCAGTTCGGATGTTGATTCGAACGTTCTCCTGACAAAGTACAGCATCCAAGTATATTCCCCAAGGAAAATAATATGGATACCCAAACGTCAGCCTACACTAGATGAAGGATACAACAGGAATGGTTTATTCAGGCTAACCGTCTGGTTTATATGCAATGAATAATGCACAGGGTTTCGGTTGACATATTCCAGGGGCATTCCCCACTGGACCTGAGAGGGGACAGTGACAAAATACATTCTGCAGCTACATTGGCTCTCAGATCCAGGACATTCCTACATACACTAATTGAATATGAACATTCCACACAGAAAGGCAACTGTAACTCAGGCGGGTCACGCCATGGCCAGATGGCAACCCACAAAGGAGGACTAAACACCCCCCACCACCAGACATACCAACAAGGCACCTTCATACCGGGACTTGCCTCCCTGGGACGATTGCCTGGCACCACAAAATGGGACTTAGAACTGCTGCCCGCCCCAGCCATGGCACACCAACACAAGCGGGGCATTGGCTAAGACTGCCATGCCACAGGACGCACCAGCCTTCTACCAGGAGGTGCAGGCTGGCTGGCTGACCAGCGATGAGCCTACTATTGGGTGGTATACACTCATACACTGGGACTCTCTTCAGAGGTTAACGTTCATCTGGTTTAGCTTACTATGTACCACTAACATGCATCTGTGATACACCTTAAAAATGCAGTACATACCTGAGATTTGATAGTTCAGCATACTCACCTTCACACTACCTAGCCTATTGCCTTAAGGTCCAGAGGGGCACATGTTATTTTCAAGATGCATACCACTTTTTAGGTAGACATGTCAGCCTAGTGTGCTTCACTTTTCCTAATCCTCATGTCAAGACGGCACCTTTACCTAGCGGAAGATTATGGGGAACAGTAGCATGATCACGATGCCGTATTACGAGTTTACTTGATATGAGGATACTTATTATGCCCCTGATAACCACCTACTACTGATTATTAAGCATGTCCATAACTCCCATCTAAGTCTCTTGCCCGACATACACGTGCCACTAAGCCCCATTACTCCTCTCCTATGCTTGTCACTGAACTGATTTTATGTTCCGCTTGTCATGATGCACCATACCGCATGCTACTAAACCTATGACAGTCACGTTAAAGGACCACTATAGTGCCAGGAAAACATACTTGTTTTCCTGGCACTATAGTCCCCTGAGGGTCCCCCTCCCGACAGGCTCTGGGGAGAGGAAGGGGTTAAAATCTTACCTTTCTCCAGCGCCGGGCGGGGAGCTCTCCTCCTTCATAGCGACATCATCGGCTGAATGCGCATGCGAGGCAGGAGCCGCGAGAGCGCATTCAGCCAGTTCATAGGAAAGCATTTACAATGCTTTCCTATGGATGCTGGCGTCTTCTCACTGTGATTTTCACAGTGAGAAGCACGCAAGCGTCTCTAGCGGCTGTCAATGAGAGGCTGGATTAACCCTATTATAAACATAGCAGTTTCTCTGAAACTATGTTTATGAAAAAAAAAAAGGTTAACCCTAGCTGGCCCAGGCACCCAGACCATTAAGCTGAAGTGGTCTGGGTGCCTATAGTGGTCCTTTAATGAACTGATTCTACTGTGACTCGCATTTAATAATCTGTTGATCTTCTCAGCATTACTCTAACGTTTAAATTTAAAGGAACACTATAGTCACCTAAATTACTTTAGCTAAATAAAGCAGTTTTAGTGTATAGATCATTCCCCTGCAATTTCACTGCTCAATTCACTGTCATTTAGGAGTTAAATCACTTTGTTTCTGTTTATGCAGCTCTAGCCACACCTCCCCTGGCTATGATTGACAGAGCCTGCATGAATAGTGGTTTCACTTTCAAACAGATGTAATTTACCTTAAATAATTGTATCTCAATCTCTAAATTTAACTTTAATCACATACAGGAGGCCCTTGCAGGGTCTAGCAAGCTATTAACATAGCAGGGGATAAGAAAATCTTAATTAAACAGAACTTGCAATAAAGAAAGCCTAAATAGGGCTCTTTACAGGAAGTGTTTATGGAAGGCTGTGCAAGTCACATGCAGGGAGGTGTGACTAGGGTTCATAAACAAAGGGATTTAACTCCTAAATGGCAGAGGATTGAGCAGTGAGGCTGCAGGGGCATGTTCTATACACCAAAACTGCTTCATTAAGCTAAAGTTGTTCAGGTGACTATAGTGTCCCTTTAAAAAAAAAAAAAGTGCTGATAATCTCAATGCTCTAACTGTTATGCTTGTTAATATGCTCGAGGAATGCTATTGGGGCACCACGAGCCTGTGTGTTCTTTCACTCAAAGCACAATAAAAATAAAGAATTTAAAAACCGAACAAAACCACGAACGGTTCCCCTGGCTCATAGGTAACGTTTGTTCCCCTAGTTCGTGGGAACAAACCTCCCGAATAGCGCTCTCCTTGCTGGTCAGTGAAAGGAAGCAGGCGTTCGTGAAGTCCCGCTGCTTCCTTTCGTGTGAACAAGATGGCCGCTGTTTTCTCCTACATGTGGCATTCGACTATACGAATGGCGGCCACACAAAGAGAGCACTTAACTTGCGGTCTGCTTTGTAGTTAATGAGCCAGGGGGTTGGTCGGTGTTCGGTAGTTTTATCTACCGAATGAGGAAAAGCAAAGGTAATGAAACAAAAGGTGTAGTGTGGCAAACCCTGCCACTTGGACTATCTATCCTGAGTGAATAGATACAATTCACCAAGGGAATAACTACACGAATGGACTTTAATAATATTGTACTTTGTTTGTTCGAATGCATGAAACTGCCGAACGGAGGACCACCCCGGGGTGGTCGTGTGTTTCCAATTAACCGAAGGATACATTGTTGCGAAGGGAATTAAGTACCTGTATGTGTGGCCGACATACGAACACGTGGCGGCGGCCATCTTACGCACGAACAGCGGTACTTGGTTGTCGAACGCCTGGAACTCAAACCGGGCATTCGGCTAACCAAGCACCGCTGAGACCTCCAGCGTGCTCCGACAATACGAAGCTAACACACGAACGCCCCGGCGTTCGGTAGATAGATTCCTCTAAACGAGGGGAATCATACGAATGGTAGCAATCATACGGATGGCTCACCGTTCGGTATTTTTGGTTCACTGAAATAGACCGACCGCAGGGCCAGAATGCATGGAACTGTTTTCGGCTACTGAGCCCCTGCGGTCGGTCAAATCTTTAACAGGCTGTAACTCCCAAACCCCTGGTCCGATCTGGGTGAATTTCAAGTATGTTGCTCACCCAGATCAGACCTACCAGGGGACCCCTTATTTGCCCCTGTACCCCCTGTATTTAGGGGACATCCAGAAAGTGGGGAAAACTCTGTCCCCACTAATCTGGTTAAGTGTTAATCTAAGGGGAGGGGAGGTGACCGGGTTACAATTGGTTACTGTACTGATTATGAAAGTTACCTCCCTTGCATGGGAGAAATGCATAAAAGCAGAACTGTGATTAAAGCTGTCATTTGACTCCCAGACTATGTGTCGTCTAGTCCTTGGGGAGGTGGATTATGCGGTGTTCCTGTGACTTTGTATCCTGTATCTTTGTTCCCAGCGGAGAGCCCTTGGATTAACCCCTGCTCCTCTGCTACAATTGGTGGCAAGCGACGGGATTCAAACCTCACAGCAGACCGTTGTTCGGCAGTTACAGCCATTCGTGGAAATTTACTATTCGTATGGAACCGAAAGGAAAGGGTATGTGAATATACCCGAACGGATAGTGAATGGGGACAGATTATAACAGCTTGAAACGGGCCACGCTAAAAGAGCTATTGGAAGCAAGGGGAATTATTGCCAGCAATAAAGCCAAAGCTACCCTTATTGCTGAACTCATGGAGGGAGACCGGGCAGCTGCTGCAGCACCTCTTATGGACAGCACACAAACGGAGTTTGGAAAAGAACTCCAAAGCAGACTGACCTTTTTCCCAGATACACCTCCCGTGGAAATGATTATGGCAGATGTGCACCAATACATCATGGCAAAGCAGCAGGCAGACCGGAGGGCCAGAGAGGGGTCCCCAACCCCACCACGCATAGTACAAGGAAAACCTAAAATTCCGTACCATGCTTTTAAAAATTATGTGGAAACTGAGGACATTGATGGCTACCTGCATGACTTTGAAAAGTTATGTCAGTTGCATGAGATTGACGCTGCATGCCGGGCAGCAGAAGCCTACCGCACCATGCCAGATGAGGACAGCAGGGATTACCAGAAAGTCAGGCAGGCGATCCTGACCAGGTATGCCATCACC